TACACACCACACACATGCATACCACTTATACACACATATACACACACACCACACACACCCCTCCACACACATCTCCTACATACACACCACACACACACACCACATACACACACATACACACACACCACACACCCGTCCACACACATCTCACACACACACACCACATACACACATACCACTTACACACACATACACACACACCACACACACCCCCTCCACACATACCACATACATACACACCACACACACCCCTCCACACACATCTCCTACATACACACCACACACACACATACCACTTACACACACATACACACACACCACACACACCCCCTCCACACACATCTCCTACACACACACCACACACACATATACACCCTCCACACACATACCACGTACACACATACTACTTACACACACACACACACCCTCCACGTACACCTCCTCTACACACACACCACACACACACACATCCTCCACATACACCTCCTCTACACACACACCACATACACACACACACGCCACACACCCCCTCCACACACATCCCTTCCACACACCCCACCCCACACACACCACGCACATACCCCCCCACACACACATACCCTTCATTGCCAACCCCTTACACACTGCCCGCATCTGAGCCCTGGAAGAGCAGTGGGGAAAGCACTGAAGCAACACCAAGGCCATGAGGAGAAGGAAAATTGAATCAAATGCAGCATCATTTCCAGCCTCCGACCAGAAAGCCCCATCCAGACATTGCTAAGGAAGAAGGGATTTGCTCATCAGTCAGCTCTGGGCATCCACGAGGCTGGAATACCAGCTGCCAACCAGGCCACAGGCCTCTCCAGCTGGTGTCTTTCCGGCTCCAGACCTCCCTCTTGGCACAGGAGGTCTCCATTTACAGGCTACCACTGGCCCTCTTGAGACATGCTTCCTTTTGATAGTGGTGGGGATGCTGAATGAGCTTCTGCAGGACTGTGAGGGACTGAAGGGCAGGGAGATGCAAGTAGCCACTCTGCTTCCTAGAGGGGGCCATCACAAACTGCCCGCTCTGTTCTCCACTCAACTATTGTCACTTCTGGCAAGGACCCACCGTGGTGGCTGGCTGAACCTCTCATAATCTCTTCTGATTACCCTTTCGTATGAACCCTACAGTTGGACAGACACCCTGTGACATTAAAACACCTCCTTCCTGTCCCAGAAAATACACAACCCTTGTTTTTTGTTTGTTTTGTTTTGTTTTTAATTAAAAAAAAAAAAAAAAGGCCATTTTCTCATGAGTTCCAGCCTCGGTCCCTCTTCCCACTCCCCAGCTGGCTGTGCAGACACTCGTGGTCCCTGGCCAGGCCTGGGCGTTCTCACCTGGCGCAGCTTGTCGGGGCCCACCCCCCGCCCCCCAGTGACTAACGCCCACCTCTGTCCAGCCTGTGTGCAGCAGACAGCTTCCAGACGTGGGCCAGGGGCCAGGGCTGGACCCGTGCCATAGCAGGGCTGGCCATGTTGATGGGCTTCCCTAGGTCGGCCTGCAGACTGCCAGGCTCGTGTCCCTTCTCCTGGGAAGAGCTCTGCAGCTGGGTCAGCAAGTGAGATTTAGAACTAGGGGCAGACCTGGGGGACAGAAGAGCTGCATTCTGGTTCCATTTCGACCAGACTAACTTGGTTACACTAATAAGCCACTTCATCCCACCAGCCTGCCCTGTCCATACTCTTCTTGGCATTGCCCACAACACGGTCACGAGCAGTAACTGTCACCCATTTACTGAGCCCTTAACATGTGCCATGCTCTATAACCCAGGTCTAATTCTCACAGCAAGCATGTGAAGCTGGTATCATCATCCTCGTGTTTTGTTTGTTTTCATTTTTAAGAAAATTATTTATTCTTTTTAAGTAGGCTCCATGCCTAACATGGGGCTCAAACTCATGACCCTGAGGTCAAGAGTTGCATGCTTTACCAACTGAGCCAGCCAGGTGCCCTGTCCCCATATTTTTAATCAGGACTGGGAAGCTCAAACATGGTAACCTCTCCAAGATCACCCAAATACTCTTGCAGAATTATAATGTCAAGTTCACATTTTGTCCAGCAAGCTGCACTGTTTGAACCAGACTCCTTAGTTCATTCAGCAAAATTTTATTGGGCACCTGCTAATTATGTGTCATACACTGTTCTAGAATCCTTACACACTCACGGGTAGGTGACGGGAACTCACTAAAATAAGGAACAAAGATGTAAGTCGACAAGAAGCTGAGTGAAATGCGTAGTCTATCCGATGGTATTAAGTGCAATGGAGACAAAGCAGGAAGGGGCTGAAGGGTGCCAGTGGAGCTGGGGGGGGGCTACAGTTTTAATCTGATTGGGAAGTTCTCCAGCAAAAGGGGACATTTGAGCTCAGACCTGAAGGAGGGGAGGAAGCAAGTCATGTGGCTTTTGGGGGAGAAGCATTTCAGGCAGAAGGATCCGCAAGGACAAAGACGTAGAGGCTGGGTGGGCGGCAAGTTCCGGGACCGCAAGGAGGCCTGGTGGAGGCGGCTGCGGGGTGGAGTGAGGCCGGGGGGAGGGGAGAGGCAGGAGATGGGGCAGAGCTGGGGGTGTGCCGTGGGGGGAGGGCAGATGGCGTGAAGACTGTGGGCTTTGCTCTCAGTGATGTGACAGAGTCCCTGCAGGGTCGTGAGCAGAGGACCGACATGATCTGACTACCTTTTAAAAGGACCTCTAATGGGAATCCCAAGGTTTTCACATTGGCCACTTCCACTTACAGTGGCCTCTGGGGCTCTCTGAGGGGACACAGGAATGAGTCTCAGTTTAGGCATCTTCCTTCCTTCAACCAAAGAATGAAATGAAAGGCCCAAACCCACCAGCAACAGAGCTCTCCTGGCTCAAAACTGCTCCCAGCAGCTGAATGTCTGAGCACCATGGCTAGTTTAGAAATTTCTTTGACTTTCTTCTAAGAAACAAAAACCTTCCCAGAAACACTCTGTGGTTCACCTTTCAAGTTCCCCAACCACGGAGCCCTCGCCTCAGGCACAATTTGAAGTTAGACATTTGATCATTTACTTGTTTCTCTGTAAATCACCAGCTGTAAAAAAAAAGAAAAGAAAAGAAAAGAAAAAAGAAAAAAGCTCCTGGATGCAGGAGACACCATTCGTTTCCCAGTCCTCTGAGTCTGTACAGGAAGCCCGCTTTGCCAAAGCTCCCTTCAGGCTGAGACTGAGGGCACACAGGAGGTCACTTGGGCCCAGAACATGCGAAAGGTCAGAATGGAAGGGTCAGCGCACCTCAGTTCCCAGAATTTACTTCTTCAAATGCCTGTCTGCAAATGGTTTCCAAGAGTAAGTTATAAAGGGGAGAACATTCCACGCCTGTTTCCACTCCAGTTGGTTTTGAGTTAGGATCAGACCTATTATAAGCCCCACTGCTGGGGCGCCTGGGTGGCTCAGTCGGTTAAGGCGTTAAGCATCCGCCTTTAGCTCAGGTCCTGACCCCAGCGTCCTGGGGTCCTGGGATCGAGCCCTGCATTGCATCGCATCGGGCTCCCTGCTCGGCGGGGAGCCTGCTTCCCCCTCCCCTCCCCACTCACGCTCTCTTGCTATCTCTGTCTCTCTCAAATAAATAAATAAAATCTTTAAGGAAAAAAAAAAAAAACCAAGCCCCACTGCTCATCTGTGTCCCAATCAGGGAGAGAGAAGAAAGACCTGCTCCTCACCTCTCAGAAACACAGAATTTGCTTTGACAAATTCTTGCTTTGACAAAACACACCTCACAACACTGAAGTGGCTCTGGTTGGGGCACTACGCACACCTGTCAGATGTGGAGCTTCCTGATTGAAATCTGGAAGGCGGCGTCTACCTCAGTTTTCCCACCTGTCAAATGGGTGAGATACCACCAGCCGTATTTACTTCGCAAGAAACGTGGTGAGGATGAAGAAGGAAACAAAGGGCTCTGCAAAGAACAGGAGACCCCCGGATCGCTCCCCATCCTTCACCCTGCTCCTCACCGTGGGCTGCACTGTTGGCTTCCTTCCTGCGGGCTGGCAGGCTCCGTCAGAGCGGAGAGGGGGAGAGCGAGGGTGGGTATTTATCCCCCGACACCCTCTGCCTGGGTGCTGTGGGCTGGCTGCAGGTGCCCCAAGACCACAGCTCCTGTCAGGGAGCACTCCCTCCCCGTCTTTCAGACCTAGGGGTGGCCACACCTCACAGCAGTCACCAGCCCAGCCCAGGACTGCGCTGTCCCTGCGGCTCCCTGTATCTCGCCCACACCGTGTGGACTGTCTCTTTAGTAAAGCCCCTTATATTACCCATGTCGGCTGATCCACTGTAGCAGGCCTTTATCTAACCAAATCTCGCTGATGACGCTGGGAGCTCGCTGGGCTCTTCCCTTTCCTGCTGGAGCTAGAGGGATCCCCCAGCCCTGTCAGTAATGATAATGGCCGCCAGCAGCATGCCACGTGTTTTAACTCATCTCTTATTTGGTACTCATACCAGCCTCTTGAGGAGATGGAGGCTTCGGGAGGCTTTAACTTGCCCAGGGCCAAACGGCTTGTAGGTGGTAGGGCCAGGACTTGCACCCAGGCCATTTGCCCCCATTCTTACATTTAACCACCAAACTCCGCTGCACCCCCCACCCCTGGCTTTTCTGGAAGAGAATCAGCTGTGGTAGTTAAAGCTGCAGCCCCAGTTACAGTCTGTATGTTCTTCCACACACATGTCTAGCCATGTGACCACAGGCTCCCCCTGACCACCTAAGTCTTTGTTTACTAGCTGTGTGTCTCTGGACCAATTACTTAACCTCTCTGTGCCTCAGTTTCTTTATTGGTAAAATGGAAATACAATAGTACTTACCTCGGAGAGTTGCGAGGATTAAACGAATGCATACATGTGTAGAACAGGGCCTTATGCATAGAATTCGCTCGAGTAGGGTTATCTATTATTGTTGTTACTGTTATTGTTATTTCCAACTTACCAAAATTCTCTCCGCCCCAGATGTCCATCTGGGCATCATACTTTCCCAAGTGGTTAAACCAGGACTTGTCGATCACAAAGATTCCTCCAGCTATGACAGGAGTCCTGGGAGCAAGGAGAGGAAAGAGGCAACACATGAGCTGGAGAAGCTGGGAACCCTTCTAGATGGCCCCAGAACCCCAGGTCATTTGCCCCAGAAACCCCCGCTTGCAGAGTCACAGGGGCAGGACATCCAGCAACTCCCTGACCTCTGTCCTCTCTGTCCCTGCGGCCCAGAACCGAATCAGCACTTAGATAGTGCTCCCTCAGGAGCAGCAGCAACTGAAACGGCCCCCCAGTGGCCTCCCAGGCCCCCTGACCCAGGGAAGGAAGGGGTCTCTGCGGAGCCTGCGGCAGCACTGACCTTATGGGCTTGGTGGGGTCGGTCCGGGCAATCTTCTGCTCAAGAGGGATCTGCTCCCACTTGAAATGCAGGCTCCAGTCAAATCCTAAGGGACAGAGTGGGGTGAGGACGGAGCTCAGGGCAGAGCTGCTGCAGCCCTCAGTCTCCCTTGATCAGAGCCCAGCTCGCAGAGGGCCCTGGGCAATTCATGCTGTCATTCCTTCACTCAGAACAAGACAGGTCCCTGCCCTCATTGATCTACTGGGTAGGACAGAGACTACAAAAATAAATCAATAAAACGATAATCTGCTAGTCAAAGGTGAAAAGTGCTGGAAAGAAAAATAAAGAAAAGAGAGGTGTTCGTACTATTCTAGTAATGGTAGTCAGGAAAGGCTCTCAGGGCGCCCGGGTGGCTCAGTTGGTTAAGCGACTGCCTTCGGCTCAGGTCATGATCCTGGAGTCCCGGGATCAAGTCCCACATC